GAATATGTATAAGATTCTCAAATTATTAAGACCCAGTCTTGCGTGGGATAACTAGATTAAAAAAAATGATAAAACCTTGTAGACGTAATCGTAGCGGTTTATAATATAAATAAACTAGCTTTCGCCCGCGACTCCATCCGCGTGGTATTACAAAAAAACAAAATTGTGTAGCCTATGAGTTCTTCCAGACTATCCTCTACACCAATACAAAATAACACCGACATACGTTCAGCCGTTTAGGCTACAAATTCTAACCAACACCCATCCAACCATCTAAACTTTCGCATTTATAATATTAGTATGATTTCAATTTTCTCAAAATTTCAGTTGTGTTTTGTTTTGTTAAACTATATTTTCATTAGTGGTATAATTCCGCAAGTATATTGAGCAAAAGTTGCTAAGCTTTATCGTGAAATGATTTTTGCTCCCCGTGACACCACCTTAATAATAAGAGCCACTTTACGGCGTAGGATTATTATTACGAGGCGCAAGAAATATCAGGACCCCCGGCGGTCTCTTACGACCCCACGTGATTGCATATAAAATTTATCCGCTAATTTACCTCATAATCTTATATTTACGGCCATCTTTATTTATGAATTATTTTTGTGTGAGGCCTTTTACTAAAGCTAAGAGAATATCCGTACTTCTATACTAATATAATATAGCGTAAACACACACTACTTTGTGGCGTAGGATATCAGCAATCATTCATAAAAAGTCTTACACTTTGGAAAAACAACTGCACGTGGGAAGGGGACCATATTTTTTTTTTAATGAAAAATATTAGTATATTTTTGTTAATTTACTAATATTTCCTTTAACCATTCCAACTAAGCTCTAGGCTTGTGCTAGGATATGGTTCACGACAATAGTCGAATAGCGGGATTCGAACCCTAGACCGTAAGATCGGTAGTCCGTACCCCAAGCCATTAGGCTATTGAGGCTTACCATAAATTACAAGATGCCAACATCAAGAAACAAAAAATTGCCATGGTTTGTTATCATTTCATGTCATTTTGACATTTGCAATTGATTCGACAAATGTAAACAATAAAATAAGTTTTTTATAATTTTACGCGGATGAAGTCGCACGAGAACAGCTAGTTATGTCATATATTCAAGGATTTTTTATGTGAACGCAAAAAGTCTGTAAGTTATAGAGAATTGAAGTATATTTAAATTTGCGTTATTTTCAGTTATTGTGGTTAATTAATTAGTTTGAAAATGATGATTAAAAGCGCTTGTGATCACAACTGACATGTTTTAAATAGCCCTTTATAATTCACTGGCTTGTATAAGTGATTTTATTTTTATAGTGTAAAATCTATGTAGACATGTAATAAAATTGGAGTGTCTCAAAGATGTATTTGCGTTGCTGACAATTAAAATCGCATTTAATTTTTTTTTTGTCTGTCTGTCGGTCCGCGAGAGCTAAACAAGACTATATTTTTTAAAACATAATATGGTTGTGGCTCCTTACTTTTTTTTCAAAGCATGAATAGACGGTGGAATCCCATTACGTGATTTAAAGGCAACTACCATATAACAAGTGTGTTACTGTTTTATAAAATTATATTACAAAATTATTTGAGTGAATTATTTTAATTATCATATTAAGGCCATCCAGTCTTCGGGGAGCAAAGTTACTGAGCCGACGCAGAGGTAATAACAGTTACTAAAGTTAATTAGGAAAACAATTTAAAATATTCAAATGTTTTATGTGGAAATATTTTACGTAAAAATTATTCGAGGATTTTTGTAATTTCGTAATATTTCAGGGGACAGAGTAAATTGGACTTGGAGGTTAGTTGTAGTTAAAACTTAAACTGCGTAGTAAATAAAAACTTTCCAATAAATTACTTTTAAAAAGTACGTATTTTCGGTGTCCGGTTAACTTGAGTAATTTTGATCAGAGGCCTATTTTGATACGGAGGTAAACCTTTAAAAGATACTCTTCTTTTTGGGGAAAGTTTCTTCTTTGTAAGGGACTAGCTGTTCCCATGCGACTTCATCCGCATGAAATTATGAAAATTTTATTTTATTATATACATTTGTCAAATTATCAATTAAAAATGTCAAAATGAAATGACGCGATGACAACCTTGCTTCCTTGATGTTGGCAGCAACTTATGGTCTCTTTCCCACATTAGGATTTTCATTCAAAATATTTACCCCTGAACTTAAATGTCGTTAAAATGTACAGCCTAAAGCGTGACGCAAGTGTAGGGCTTTTTAATATTATTTTTTTTTCAAAAATGTACTGTAATTGCTGCCATCTTAGGCAACGAAGAAGTGTGTGTTTACGCTTTATTATAATAGTATAGACTAAAAAAGGAAAAAAGGAACTCAACGGGGCCTTGCAGTACAGCAAAAATAAATCTATCTTTCATTTTTTATGTTATATCTAAGGTTTTTCACAAAACTCCGGACATATGAACTTATATAGACATGTATTTTGTATATAACAAAAAAAATCTAATCAACAAATAGATATATGAATAAACTAAGTCACTTTGTGTCAAGTCGTTCCAAGATATTGTCCAACTTCTTAATTCAGGACTCTGATACTGGGAAAGTTTCGTGTTTCTTCGGGATCAAGGAGCAAAATAAGATAACAGGTTTATGCAAATAACTTTCATATTTTATCCGATGATCTTGTAAATTTGTTTACCTAACTTAAGTAAGGTGCTTAATATACTTATTCAAAGTATGATTGAATGTTTACAGGAGCTACGTTTTTATATGTTAAATAATAAAATGTTTTTTTGTTATGCAAAATTTGTTATGCATTATAATTGCGTATTTTTAAATCTGGTTTTATTTTAATGATATTGAACCTATTTGCAATGAATGGCGGAACGAAAGGATTATTACGTTCTTATTTAAAAGAGATTAACGCATTTCATTGTTATTGTACTAACGTATATTTATGGAATAGTTATTAATTGTTTATGATTATGTTCGAGTAAAACTTCGACTTTTCGGTTTCAGTTCAATATGTTTGTTTTGTTTTGACGAAAACGATGGGGACATAAACCGGAAAGTGTTAAGATTGAATGTGAATAGCTACAAAGGTAGAGAAAGACCAAAGAAAGTATGAATGAATTGTGTGAAAGAGGATATGCTTAAGAAAGGAGTGGATTCAGATATGACAGCTGATAGAGATGTATAGAAAAGCAGCACATACCCGACCCTCCGTAAGGGATAAGGGCATGTGGATGAAGTTTGTTTTGTTTTTGTATATCTGGATTTGATTGAATCGATGAAATTCGACACCGTTTCGCTTGTGACTTTACCCATGATACTTTAACTTACGTTAAAGTTACTATAAACTCACTTAACGAACAGCCAATTAAAAGTAAACATTCATTCTATAAAATATTACGAATAATATATGAAGAATATTCTTTCTTTCGGATGTTTTTCTAGTAATTTTCAACGAGTTTTTATGTAAAAGATAAAAAGGGTTTACATTTCAATGTAAATATCTCGTCACAAAGGCATTAATTTTGAAAAAAGAAACAACATTACTTTTTTAATGGTTGGCCATAAAATTTTGTATATTTCGTTACAAACGATTGAACGCAAAAACGATATCGAATTTATTTTTTGTCCCCGTGGACAATGACTGTGTTCGTGATATCTCAGTGGTTGAACCGTTGTAACTTTATACAGCTACTCATCAGCAGTAAAATAAATTAAAACGCACAAGCGTAGAACACTGATTATAGTTTATTCTATCCCTTTGTGGTAATTTAGTCGACCCCTACATAATAATAACCCGCATTTTTACACTTTGAACACTTTTTTGGTAACTTAATAGTTATTATTGTCTTTGCTATTTTAAAAATTCAAAACAGTTTTTTTTATATTTCTTTTGACTAGTAATTAATCGCAATAATGTTTAAAGCCAACAATGTAAGAAAAACCTACGTTTTACGTAAATACCAGGTTTTGATCGTGTTTTCGTGTACAATGTTTGGTTCGAGTAATATATTAAGATATTAATTTTTCAATATTTAGATTAGCTGCACCAATATTTATCTTGATTTTAAATCTCATCTTACCCTTACTTGATACTATAAACTTTAGATGGATAGGACAGATGTATGGATAGATGGAGAATATAGTCTGGAAAAATACATTGGCTACTAGTTAAGATTTTTTGATTATGTACAGTCATACTTCATACTTCATCTCATACTAATATTATAAATGCGAAAGTTTTGATGGATGGATGTTTGTTAGTGTTTGTAGCCTAAACGGCTGAACGGATTCGATGAAATTTGGTACAGATGTAGAGGATAGCTTGGAAGAACACATAGGCTACTCACTTTCATTTTTTTTAATCCACGCGGACGGAGTCGCAGGCAAAAGCTAATAAACAATAAAACAAAATACACACCCATCGATAGTTTTAAAATAGTTTTAAATAATCGTTTGAAAAACTATTTGCGATTTCATTTTAAAAACGTTATGCAATAAAATGTGTTTTCAACTGCGCTCAATGTTGTTAAGTAAATTTGCTCCGCGACACTTAAGTTGTTATATTGCTTAAGCCGTTCTGTTTTATTTCATTTCCTTAGTATGTTTCCTTTTTGTTTATCGCATTTAACTTAGATAATGTCTCATACTTATATAACAAACTTAATAAGTTAAAATTTAACAATAATTGTCAAATACGTCTCCCTAAAACTATAAAGTAGTTTGTTAAAAATCACAGAAACTTCCCTTATCAAAGTCTCAATTTTCTAGATATTATAATATGAAATATCTCAAATAATAATTATTAGATTTCTTATCATTTACTATGTTTAAAATGCACATAATTTATTTAAGTATAATAATTAAATAAGAATAAATATTTATACAAAATATATTAATACAAAGTGTTGAATTTCGTAGACGATTCTTTTTATCAAAAACGTAGTATCGAAGTGCTACGAACGGACTCGCTACGACACTGAACCTCCTCAGTCTGAATTCGGACGGCGACCTGAACGCACGTATACTCCGTTCTCCACCAACTACGCGACATCTTAAACTTACAGTTTAAAATTTATTTCAAGTTTTTACAGCGAATTACATAGTTATTTAAACTTCTTAAAAATTGTCATTTTTTTAACAATAAAAAACGTAACTTTTATTATTTTATTTTTCTGAACTTTAGTAAAAGTGATAGTTTGAGTGTGTTTATTTAATTTATGAAAATATTGGAAGTTAAATGAATTGGCAACGAAATTTTAAATAAGCGATAAGAATTGCATCGTGCAGCTTCAGAAAGGTTAGTTATCGAATTACATTTAAAAAGTAGATTGCAAAAACGTATTTTAATTAAATAGACTATAATGAACATTTATAAATACAATAGTCTAGTGAGCGTCAGCGACTCAGTGGTTTAAACACTTGACTTGTAATCTACAGGTCTTGGGTTCGAATCCCGCCATGTACAAATGTGGTTTTCGATTTTTCGAAATTTCATATCTACATAATTTACCCGACGTTCTAACGATGTAGGAAAACATTGTGATGCCTGCACATATCGGCGAAGAAATTCAAACATATGTATGAAGTCAACCAACCCGCAGTGGGCCAGCGTGGTTGACTATGGCCTAGTCACCCCTAACTTAGGGTAGGCTCCGAGCCCCTCGGTGGGGACTTATAGTGAGGTTGTGACGATGATGAAATACTGTAGGCGGTGATGCTTAGTGCATAAAATAGTTTCATTTGGGTATACAGTAGTATGATGAAAAATTCTGGAAGTGTTATGTCTGTAATAAGAAGCACAGAGCACGTAATGTTTATTACATTCTTCAAGTTAATTGTGCTAAGAATGCTATGAGTATGACTGTGAGTATTGGGAATTTTAGTGTCAATTTTAACGAATCTTGGGTGAATTAACGAATTTTCTGTCTATGTTTTTACTTGTGGTAAGACAACTTTATTTAGAAGAAAGGCAAAAGATACATCTATGCCAAATCTAATCGAGATCCGTTCTTAGGCTACAAACTCTAACAAAGATCCATCCATCCGTCTAAACTTTCGGAACATATTAGTAAGATTAGAACTCTAGAGTAGGTTATTAAAATTGTTTTGATGAACTCAGTTTTAATTGAACAGTTCTATTGTTCAGTTAAACTGTGAACAGTTAATGTAAAATGTGACGTATTAAAATATGAAGAACATAATGTGTCAAATAAATAAAGGTTTATGAAAAAAGCTTCGGTAGCTGAGTAATAAAAAGCCGACATAAAAGACGAGAACAATTTATATTAAAATGGCGTGGATTCTGATACCTCGTGCGTTCTATTACAATTAAAAAATTATATGAACGTTTCATTTTTCACTGAAAGTATTAATTCAATACCAAGAAATGATACGTTTGTATTTCTATTGTTTTTTTCATTAATCGCCATTATGGTTTGTTAACGGAATATCTAATGACTTATTTTTTTTTACAATAAAACAAGTAAACTGTACATTTCTACATCCATCCTTTTAAATTTTCGCATTTATAATATTAGTAAGATTTCTTAACTCTTGTTTCAGTAAAGGTTAACTACTTATAAAAAGACGGTCGCTTCGCTATTTTAGCGCAATATGGTAGCCGGATTTTGATGAAATTTGGTAGAGATGTAGAGGATAGCTTGGAAGAACACATAGGCTACTTACTTTTGTTTTTTTTAATCCCACGCTGTAGAGTCGCGGGCGAAAGCTAGTAACATATAAATAACGTTTTTGAAGGACAATTTTGTAATGTTAAGGTTCGTTGAACTCTTGTAATAAGGAATTAGTGAAGGCAACATAAAGTTTGTGATAAACTCCTAAGTAGAACATCGAATATCGTAACTTTTGACAAATTAGTTTCTCGTACAGATCACCACATATCTTTAGGGTTATTTTTTGTTTACTTATATATGTAGCCTTAGAAATAATCAAAGCTAGGTATAGTTATATAATTTGGTTTTTCGATATTCTATTTAGTTTAAAAATGCGATAGATTTTTTAATTCCATTATGTTTTAAGACTGGTTTAGATTGCAATGATAGTTTAATTCTTTGTTAAATTTCGATGTTTTTAAGGTGTTTTGCTGACTTTTCCGACGAGATTAAGTTAAAAATGATAATGTCAAATTAAAAATGTTGTCCAACTCGTTTGTTTATTTCATCAATTCGTTTATCTAACTGCAAAAAATTCCAAAGCACAATATGTTGGTATTTGTATGAATCATTTATCTTTATCTGTGGGATATAGTGAGCTTAATTTGATAGTCAAAAAGCTACGCCCACAGGAACGTGCGAAATTGCCCAACGGCGCCACAATGCTTATTGATTACCTTCTAATGTAACAGACACTACTCACGTTTTACAACTGATTAAAACTACCAATAGGTTAGAAAAATTATAATAAATTTTATGATATAACTAGCCTTCGCCCGCGACTCCGTCTGCGTGGAATTTAAAAAAAAGTGTAGCCTATGTGTTGTTCCAGACTATCCTCTACGTCTATCACAAATTTCATCGATATCGGTTCAACTTTTTAGGCTACAAACTCTAACAAACATCCATCCGTATTAATTTTCGCATTTATAATATTAGTAATATGTTTTAGACTCATTATAGAATCACTTATATGACAATCGGACGGTGACACATGACTATGCTAAAGTAAATATGAGTCGAATAGAATAAGCAAATGTCAGCATGTTTGCTGAAACTGTGTAGTTATTTACTAATGGTACTAAAAATTAAGGTCAAATATAATACGTCGATCACAGAGTTATAAAAAATGAAATACACCAAAACATACGTCGGAAATTATCCAAGGTCCAAATAAAACTAGATTTATTGCTCAAAATATTTGAAACACTGAATATTTTTTACACACATTTTTATCGATTGAAAAAGTTAAAATTGTAAATATCAAACAGAACTGCTTCCGAAACAATGAAAATAGATAAAGAAGCCAAAAAAGTATGCGCAAATAATTAACAATGTTGTCAAATTGGGTTTCGTCCACTATGTACATTACGATTTTTCTTGACTTTACAAATTTTTAGGAGTAAAGATAGGCCTAAGGTGAGATGAATGTGTGAAAAGTGATGACTGAAATCATTTCATTGCAGAAAAGGTACGAAAAGAAACTTTATTGGTTGATAGCAGTAATTTTTCCACAAAAACGTTCATGTTAAATTATTTAAAGTATCGTAAGACATTACTTTCAGCGAAAATTAAGAGGCTCTACTAATTTTTATCCTCTGGTGACGGCACCAACTAGTTTGACCAGAAGAAGGACCCCCGAAGGGTCTGAAACTAGTCGGTGCCGTCACCGTAGGCTAAAAACGTGAGTTGAGCCGTTTTTAATTTTCGCTTATATGTATGTGCATATTTTTTTACTGTACTAGCTTTCATTAGGGACTTTGTCCGCGATTAGTATTAAAAAGTATATACTATAGTAATAATGTGTTAATGTGTTATTCCAGACGATTCCTACATCAATGCCAAATTTCATCGAGATATCTTTAAGCTGTTTAGGCTACAAACAAACAAACATCCATCCATGTAAACTTTCATATTAATAATATTAGTAAGATACTTTTAATTTTTTATGGAATACGGAAAAAGGGATATTTAAAAAAACCTATTTAGTTTCGTGACAAACAAAAAAAAATGTTTTTAAACACTTTATGTGTTATTTTATCGTTTTAAGAATATTCAATACTACGCCTACGTTTACCAAAATGTAAAGATTTACCTTGTTTACACTAAAAGATACATGTAATGGTGTTTCCTGTTTTATTTGATGTATGAATACTTAAGTAGCAGAAATATTTATGCGGTGAAACATTTATTTGTAAAGTGGGAGTTTTCTCAAAGGAAATGACTCAGTGAATCGAAATAAGATAGATTTCTGCTACATTTAAAAATGAAAATATTTCTGTCATAGAAGTCCACCGATGCGTAAACGTTCAAGTAAATTAAATTTTCTATTAATAATACTAAGGGCCTGTCCAACAACTCTTGTAAATTGTCAAATAACAATACAACGTATAAAATATTTGATGAAAGTATCGGATTTTGGTACTCTATCTGACAGTGACGTCACTTTTAAGCTATCCCATCCTGAGCCAGTGGTGGGACAGGGCCTAAATATTATATCATAACAAATGTAATAAGAATTTGTTATAAATATCCGTAAGTTTGCAAGGTCAGCGACTTCGTACATACTCAGAAATCCCCGGCGGAGCGCACACATCATTTTGTTGATAGAAAAATAATCCTCTAACTCCTATTATGATCTCACGATGCTATATCGTACTATATCAGTGTGTTGCCGTTTAGTAGTCATATACATTTTATCTGCCTACTCTAGAAAAAATAAATAGATTACTCTAGAAAATATAAAGACATAAAGAGTTTCAAATATTTTTAAAAACATACATTAAAAATTTGAATCATGATTGTTGAAACATCAAAAAGATATTATGCTTGCGTAATTCGAACCAAACTCTTTTTTTTTGACTACGCAAAGACGAACTAGTCAATAGCTATCTATCTTTACTAATATTATAAAGAGGAATTATTTGTATTTTTTCATTTTTGTATGTATTCGATTCACGTAAACACTGAGCCGATTTTAAAAATTCTTTCACCATTAGAAAGGTAATATATCTGTGTAACATAGAGTATATTTGATTATTACTATTAATATTTTATACGTTCCAAATTGTGAAAATATATAGTCACTTGTTTGTTGTATAAAAATATTTCAATAATTTCCAAAGGCCGGCTTCAGTTTTCGTGCGTCATATTCCGCTACCCGAGTGATGTTTGGGAAGTCATTATTTCCTCATTTATCTTATCTGTTTGACTTTGAATGGTGTATCAATATCAGTTTAGATGTTATTAATGAAACAATTTGACGGAAGTTTGTATCGTATTTGTCGGCCCTTTTTTAGATCATTTTCATGCAATTTTAAAAGCAAATAGTATAAGTGAAGTTTCGTTTTTTAAGTCTAAAAAAGAAATTACTGTATTTCTTCATCGTACGATTTTTTTTTCAAATTTTATTTTAAACTAGCTGTTCCGGTGCGGCTACATCCGCATGAAATTATAAAAACTTTGTTTAATCATTTACACTTGTCAAATTATCAATGGCAAATGTCAACATACCAATTACCTTACTATGGCAATTATGCTTCCATGATGTTGGCAGCAACTTATGTCTTTTTCCCACATTAGGGTTTTTATCCAACATATTTACCCCCTAAGTTTAATGGCGTGA